GAATCATATTCAGTAAGTACGTGTGCGAGTCCATCTTTCTCAGGAACAATACCATGAATGGAAACCAACACTTCTGCGGGTGTTAAAGCTGGGCCTGTATGAGCTGAGCCCTGCGATTGAAAGGATATGAATCTTAACAAATCATTGACGCAGGTTTTGTCAAACTTTGTGTCATATCTTTGTCCAACATGAATTGTTTTTCTTTAAGAAAGTGCCTACATATTGGTGATTCTCGTTAATGGAACTTAGAAGGTAAATAATGAATAAAAAAGGAAATCACAATATATCTAGACACTAATTTTTTGGTTTAACAAGGAAAATCATAACCATATGGCCCCATACACAAGGACCTATATGAAAACCACATGTACCTGCAGTAAGCGGGCAAGTGCTGTCTGGAACTTTTCCAATGGAAGAGAGACAAGCCGAGGAAATATAGGTATAAAACCTGGACCCATAAAATGGTTACACAGAATTAGATAAAAATCAATGTGAAACTAACAGCATAAGAATTTCTACTTTCCATTAACACAAAATATGATACTGTTTCATAGGTATTATTTAATGAGGATAATCTTGCTCATGTGCAAGGCCAAATTCGTTGCCTGTACTCCACACCATCAACCTAAGTGATCTATTTGTTGGCCTCAGCAGGCCTACAGTGGATGTGCTATGTTGATACTTTCACAGTTGGTATTCCAAACCATGCAGCTAAACATATAAACTCCCACCTGGTGCCAATTTAACATGGTATCATAATGGGAGACCCTTAGTTCATATTCCTGCGATAGCAATCGTCCATTCTACGTTGAATCACACAGACTGGATTTCTCCGGTGGTTGGTTCAAACCAGGCCAAGAATCTACAGACATAAACACGGAAAAAAAATGGAACTCTTGTTCGTGCCTATTGAGTTTGCGACTAAATGGAATATTTAACTAAGCTAACACAATAAGTTAAGGTTAACCATCATGCTTTGGTTTATGACAGTTTCAGTAACACGAGCATACCATTAAAGCACGAAACGTTTCCAGGTCGAAGCAGATCCAATGGTTAGAGTTAGATTACAAGCCAATTATTGCCACCACTATAACAGCTTAGCTTTCAGGAAATAGTTTTAAACCAAGAACCTTGACAAAAAGGTACTTGAGAATGAGACAGAACCTATGAAACAAACCTCATTTTTAGAAAGTGCAGACAGCATTGGAATAAGAATTGTGACATCCTGCAGCCAAGAATTTCCCAACTCAGTTTTGAACATGAAAATAGCAAGAGATTTAACTACTATTCAAAAGAAGAAGCTTTAGTTAATTGTTGGAACCCCCAGTCCCACATCGGACAGAGGGAGAAGAGAATAGTGCTTTAAATAGAAATACCCCTCTCAAACTAACATCGAGACCTTTTGTGATAAAACCTCACACCTGAGGATTGTGCAGGTGGTTAAGTGGGGACAGTATCGGTGTTGTTGGAGTGGGCCCTCGGCCCGTCGACCTAAAAATTTCTACATGGTATTAGAGCCAGGAGGCGGGCCCGTACTGCCACGTGTTTGGGTGGGTCCCCATTGGCCCCACGTGATTGGGTGAGTCCCGACATGGCTCCACGTGGTTGCCGATGTGTGGAAATTCACGTGAGTGGGGTCTCACGTGCGGGGGAGTGTTGGAACCTCCAGTCCCGCATCGGACAGAGGGAGAAGAGAAGAGTGCTTTAAATATAAATACCCCTCTCTAACTAACATCGAGGTCTTTTGTGATAAAACCCCAACCCCACACCTGAGGATTGTGCAGGTGGTTAAGTGGGGACAGTATCGGTGTTGTTGGAGTGGGCCCTCAGCCCGTCGACCTGAAAATTTCTACAAAAACCTTTAATTTTGTTCATACAAATGTTTAAACAGTGGCTATCAGATCAGCCGAAGGCTTGGGCACTCTGAGTTATTCTTAAATTCAGTTTTTCAAAATGGCCTGCCAAACAAGAAATCGAGAGTTGTAACTCAAAAACAGTTTCTGAGTTAAAATACTTGGACTCACATAGAGTACCAAAAGGACCCTAAGATTCTATCAAATTCTGGTATAATTGGGTATATTAACAGAATCAAGATCCAAACTTTTAATATTCCCAACTCGTACAGCCAAAGTTTCCAAACCATATATTGTATCTGCAAAGGGTCGGTTCATGTGGATTTTGGCTATAAGTTTTGAGAATTCTCAATGTGTTCAAAATTGTGACATCCCGTCCCGGAGTTATCGGAACCGTACGCGTGAAATTACCATTTTACCCCTAGTTATTTTGTTATGTTGTTTGGTTGTTTGTGTGGTGTTGGCAAACTTTGGGCCACACACACACACACACACACTGTCTCACTCACCCTCACCCTCTGTCTCTGTCTCTGTCACTCTCTCCCTCCCGTGTCTCTCTCTTTCCCTTATTCTTCACCATATACGTACGGACACACACACACACACCCTAAAACGTCACAGATCAAGGGATCCAAGGCTACCATTGAACTCGTGGAACTGAGAGGAGTCTAGTGGTGCCATTTTCAGGTAAGAATCTCGATGTTTTCACGTCGATTTCACAAGGTCCGTTTTGGGTCACTATTCATGCAAACCTAATCTAGTATGTTTTTGGACATTTTAAGCTTGTAGATGTGTTAGTGAGGTTCCCAGGAGCTTGGGAGTGCTTCGTTGGGTGAATTTGGACGTTGGGAAAGCTTGGTTCAAAGTTGGCCGAACTTGGATCGTTGTTGCAGGTGAGATTCTTGGATTTTTAGGCCCTAAAACTAGTCTAACGTGAATCTACTAGTCTTAAGCTTCATTTTGGTATAAAGAACGTGAAAAATGGTTGAAAAACAAGTGAGAAAACAAAGTTGGAAAATTTTGCAGTTTTCCAGCGACGGCGGCTGTGCCGGCGGCGGTGGCTCGCCGGAGAAGACAAGGGAATATTCCGTTAAGGCTAACAGACAGTAACGGCGTCAGTCAAGGTTAACGGAATATTCCAGGGAATATTCCTGACGGCGTCACCTGACGCCGTCAGTGTGCAGGTCACGTGGCCGCGCGTGGGGGCGCGTGGACCCGTGCCTGTGCTGGCGCGTGGGGGCGCGTGACGTGTCCAAAAATTATTTTAAAAATATGGTTGTGATCGTGAGGTTGTGTAGATCACGTTGGTATATTCATTTGTCCATTTTGAGCAATGTATGAGAAGTTATTTTGAACGGACGGTTATGTGCTTTAAAGTTAACGTTTTTGTAGTTAATTCGCATATAGGTGACACGTATCCCGAGGACAAGCGTGCACATTCGAGGCAGGGGGGCTACGACCCTTCTACTTACCAGTGAGTGGGCTTTTGTTTTCCGTATATACCTATATACATGTTATTTCCCAGAAATTAGTATAAATGCTTCGTTTTACGCCATTAATTTTATATGTTGAGTATGCATGATTAGCGGCACATGAATTGGTTTATATTTATTATTACATCATTTACATATATGTTGGTGCTGTGGCGGCCTAGGTAAGTGCCAGGTAAGCGTTGTTTTACATTCGCATTAAATAGTGATTCGAAGTGCTTAGAGGACTCATAACCTGCACCCCCGGTGTTAGTGCTCCCGCCCAGTGTAGGGCACAGTCCTTCACGTGTTGTTCACCTCCAGCACCACACGCTCATCTTGAATCCAAGTTAGGTGCACAGTCCTGTCGTACAGACCACTATAGGTGGTTCCGACTCGTAGGTGACCCGCGATTATTCGCACAGCCTTCACGTGATCGTAGCACTAGAGCGTTTATATGTATTACACCCAGGCTTGTCGTACAGATCACTATAGGTGGTTCCGACTCGTGGGCAGGTTTAAGGATTTAGTTGTGAGTTGAGCTCTAGATTCAGCCGTACAGGTCACTTAGGGGACTCCGGCTGCCAGCTTAATTATGCTAATGATGTGATTTACATGTTTGAGCACTTGCATATTATTACGTGGCGTTGAGCATGACGGCATGCAATTGAGTATGTTGGCATATCCTTGAGTATACTCGGTATATTTATACATACGTATATATGTTTATTTCCTGGGAAGTATACATGTTTTACGGCGAGGGGTTATATTATGTTTTATGAAATGGTTTTCTAATAGATTTGTTTTGCCCACTCACGCTTTTGTTTTTGCGCCCCTCCAGGTTCTAGTAGCCTAGCGGGTCTGGTGGTTTCTCGGAGGACGTCTCGGCATTCTGACAGATACTCACCTACGTAGGGTCACCCTCGGGTGTACTTTTGTTGTATTGTTTCCTTTGGACTGCTGTAGGCCTTAGGCTTTGAATTCAGTGTCGTATTTAAGCTAGCTCATATTCTATCACTCTATATTTGCTAGTTTTTAAATTATTCGCACTTTTATATTACTGTTTAGCTTCCGCACTGTGCACATGGCTACGTCACTTCCACGTGACGGCCAGCATACCCTGATCTCGGTCGGGGTGTGTCAAAAATCATAGTGCAGTATATCAAATGTAATAATATAATAAATTATAAAATTATAAAGAAATATTTAACAAATTATAGAGTTTATCCTTGTTTGAAAGTATTTTTAAATGATTGAAAGATTTTTCCATAAAAATGTTTTTGAAACCAATTCTTAGTAAAAATTCAAGTGGATTCTGAAAAAACATCTTAAGTGATTCCTACAAAAAAAACATATATTTGATGTTTCTTCTAAAAAAACCATTTAAATGATTTTAGAATTCAAAATCAATTTCAAACATTTTAAAAACACCTTTAAATAAACCATTAAAAATGAGTACAAGCTACTTTTAGAAGCTGATTTCTAGACACGTCAGCTTTAAAGCATAAATTTTTTTGTTACTAAATTTTTAAAATTTTATTTTTATGAAAAAGAAACGCCAAATGGCCTAATTATAACTGAAGCCTTTTTCCCGGTAAAATAAAGAAGCCAACAATTTTTTACGGGGACAAAGAAACAGTGCGAATCGAATTCAATTGGGGGTTAGGGTTTTTGCTCTGTGAGAAGAACAAAAATGGAGGGTTGGGACCCGAACACCAAGTCGACGCTGACCCAGATCCCACTCTTGACGACCAAGGCCGGTCCTAGAGACGGCGCGGCGTGGACGCAGCGGCTGAAGGAGGAGTACAAGGCGCTGATCGCCTACACCCAGATGAACAAGTCCAACGACAACGATTGGTTCCGAATCTCCGCCGCCAATCCCGAGGGCACACGGTGGACAGGCAAGTGCTGGTACGTCCACAACCTCCTCAAGTACGAATTCGATCTCCAGTTTGATATCCCGATCACCTACCCCGCCACCGCACCGGAACTTGAGCTCCCTCAGCTCGACGGCAAGACCCAAAAGGTCGGCCTTATTTTGATTTTTCGATTTTACCCCTTCCCCTTTTTTTGCTTTCTGATAGTAATTTAGTTTCTTTAATTTCTGGGTAATTTTGGATTTGTTTCAGATGTATAGAGGGGGAAAGATCTGCTTGACGGTGCATTTCAAGCCTCTTTGGGCCAAGAACTGGTAAATTTTCTATTTTGTTGTCTTTAATTTGTTGCATGTTTGTCGAAGTATTGTGAATTTTTTATCTGTTTGGTCACTGAGAAATTGTAAGAAATGAAAGGAAAGTGGTTTTTTTTTTTTTTTTTTTTGGGGGGGAAAATTTGTAATTTTGGATTTACAAGAGATTTCAAAATCAGCTTTGAACTCGGTTCTAAATTCGCTTGAGAATATATGACATGACAGAACAATCCAAACTCAAGTTTTGTTGCAACTCGAAATTTGTTTTGCTTTTAGATTATTTGCTTCAAGCTGAAAATTTGGATGCATGGTTTGTATATTTCAATATGTTAGTCTTCTGTTTTTGAAACCAATTCGTGTAGTTGCATTTTCTTTGTGGAAGAATGATGTTTGTTTTCTTGTCTGTGGAAGGTAAATCATTTGTGGAAAACTTGCACAACACATTTTCTTATTCCTTAATTTGAATTATAGTGGGAAACATTGATATGGGAAACTTTTGCATTTCATTGTATTCACATAGTAATTTATGACCATGAAAGTGTCATTCTTCCTTTAATCTCGTACGAGGAACTTACTCTAATCTACTCTCGAAAGCATTAATGTAAACAAACAAAGTGCCCATTTGTTTAATCAAACAAGTTTGGAGTTATCGGCTAGTAGTATTTATGATCTTTCTCATGTTATGCAGTCCAAGATTTGGTATAGCACATGCACTCTGTTTGGGTCTTGCACCATGGCTTGCAGCTGAGATTCCCATCCTTGTGGATTCTGGTATGGTTAAGCACAAAGATGATGCTGCATCATCAGCTGAATCTTAGTTCAATGTAATACTGACGCTGTACGAGTAACACCTCGATGACTGAAAATAAATGTTGAGCCATAAGTAGCAACTTACTTGGAACGGGGCGTTATAATTTATCTGCAGAGAAATACATTTTTGAGATCAAATACATACTCTTGGAACTATGTTCGTTTTAGTTTTGAAATGCATACATGTACATCGTAAGATATGAATTGATTCTTTTTTTCTGTTTCCTCTCAGTTGGTACGATCTTGTGGTACATGTTTTCGAAATTGTGTATCCTAGGGTTGAAGTCCCCGGCACCCTTGACTTGACATCTTAAAGAGTATGATTTCCCTTGAGCAGATATTCCTACCGGTTTGCGGGGCAAACTGTTGAGTTTTTCTTTCTTTTCTCGAACCGTTGAGTTTTTCCAACGTCGGGACAACTTTTTAATCCTCACATGCCCTCTCATGTGTGGTAACACTCAAGACAAACGCGTACAAAATAGATATTGGGTGACTTGAAGTAACTAATTTATAACAATTTTAAAACCTTGAAGCTGAAACCACCTTGAATCCCTAGTACTCTTTTTCAAAAGAATATGAATTGAGGAAATGATCGCCAGAATGCATCAATGGCGGAAATTGATTGAAAAATAAAATGACCAGATTCATTGTGATACAAAAAACATAAAAGTAAACCCTCCTGTTTTAAGTTACGATCATCAAAAGTAAAAATAAAATAAAATAAAATAAAGTTAAATTTACAAGGAGAGGTCGGTGAAGGACTTGATCGCTGGGGAGTTGAACCGCCTTATAGCGCCTTGAAGATCTCAAACGGTCACAACAAATTTCACTCTCTCTCTCTCTCTCTCTCTCTCTGAAAGTGAAAGTGAGAGGAAATTAGGGAAATCATCATTCTTTCACTCTCGTAAAAGGAAGTTGCTAGAATTGTTTCTGGGTTTAGGGTTTACAAGCCCTCCTACATGATCCTACAAACCACGAACAAGTATTTACGAAGTTAGAGCTTTCGTATATACATTTGTATCACCTCCCGAATATAGATGGGGCCATCAAGACATACGGATCCCTTTTTCTGTTAAATAGGTGGTACAACGCGATATAAAATATGTGGTATAAGTAATATTCTTGTTTAATTGTATAGAAATATGGGTAAAACCTTGGCCGTTGATGAATTTTCACCACGGAGCCAAGATGGGGCGTTTTGGCTCCCCAACAACTTAAAATATCTCCTCTTTGAAGTTTTATATGACCCTATAGTGGCTAAGGCAAATAAATTACAACCAGTCCAAAATAGGGAGAGCATTTTTAGTGGTCAATATTGTGCAGAATTCACATCATATGCGAAATCAATGATGGAATGATAACTTGGTTGTATACAATGAAAAATGAATGGAAACCAATAGTTGAATGACGACTTGGTTATATAGAATGAAAAATACATTCAATCTATTGATAATGATACTATAATATGACGTTTCTAAAATATTTGACTCCGTCATTGATTTTCACATCACATTGGTGATGAGTTCGAACGTAAAATTAGAAAGATATAAATAGAATCACGCGCATACCAGCAAATAGAAAAACCCTTGGTTCAACACCAATAATTGACCACATAACCCGACCAACTCAAGTCTAAGGTTGACTCTTTTACTACAAAGCTTAACATTATGTTTCAACTTTGCTAATTTAAGATTATCTAAAATGCCATGCATGTAGTATCATATTCTTTATATAATTTTAACGACAATTCTTTTGCTAAACATAAAATTTAGTTTCCTTAGTTGGTTTATTTGTTATGTTAGTTGTTAATTAGTTAGCATCAGCTGTGTGTATGCCAGAACTTTCTGTGTGTGTATATACATACATACATACATACATACATACATACATACATACATACATACATACATATATATATATATATATATATCAATATTGTTCAATTAACGAAATCATAATTTCCTCAATAGTTCAATCGGTTTCGGAAGTCTTGACCTGAGGCTTATTTGATTGGTTTTATTGGAGCTAGCAAGCAGCAACCATGTCTATTGCGGCAGGGCTTGCTGGGGAGGACTTGTCCCGGCAGACCAGCAGTCGAGGGAGCTGGCGGTCTGCGAGTGTGAGGGAGATGTGGAACGCGCCGGATGCTTTTCAGCGAAGTGGGCGGCAGCAGGTGATGAGTGAGGAGGAGGAGCTCAAGTGGGCGGCCATAGAGAGGCTGCTTACATATGATAGGATGAGGAGGGGGATGCTGAGGCAGACCATGAGCAAAGGGAAGCTTGTGGCAGAAGAAATCGATATGGCGAATCTTGGGGAGCAAGAAAAGAAGCGGTTGATGGACAGCATACTTAGGGTTGTGGAGGATGACAATGAGAAGTTCTTGCAGAAACTGAGAGCCAGAAACGAAAGGTTTGTGATTTGTATTCTATTTTTGTTGAATTGGAGTTTGATATATGTATATTTTGCTTTTTTGGTTGGCAAAAATCGGGTTCGGTTTTGAATACTTTTGGTTGGTTGGAAACAGGGTTGGGATTGATGTTCCTAAAGTTGAGGTTAGATTTGAGAAAGTATCAACAGAGGAAGATGCATATGTTGGCAGCAGAGCACTTCCAACACTGCTAAATTCTTCCTTGAACATGATAGAGGTACTTTACAACATATATATTGATTCTAAAATTTCATTGTTCATTTCTAAATTTGTATGATGAGCTCACAGATTTGTAAATTTCTATGGATATGAATAGGGAATAATTGGAATGCTTGAACTCTTACCGTCAAAGAAAAGAAATGTTCAGATTCTCCAAGATGTGAGCGGCATCGGGAGGCCATCGAAGTATGCTCAAGATCTTTGCAGATTTAATCTCTTTCCTGTACTAGTGTTACGTTTTTTTGTATCAATAATAATTCGATTGAAGATTTATATATTGGCCTACGGGTCGGGAGATGTAGGGGCCTATAGGTCGATTATGATACCACTAGTTAGCATACTATATACGATATATGTTTTATGAAGGTTTTATGGCATGCTAGGGTTTTCAGAAAACCTATTACATAGTATGTTATTGAGTTTTCATAAAACTTTAGGGGTTAGTCTGTTGATAATTGATTCAGTATTTTATATACATACATATATATATATATATATATATATATATATATCAACTTGGTCCACTCATGTTTGTTTTGCGCCCCCTCAGGACATAGGATCAAGGCGTACAACCCGTGCTACTAGGCTTTCCCTTACCAGTGATATCATATCATCATCTGTGCTTTGACATCATTATAATAACACCTTCCGTTGTATTTTGAATTAGATGTATGTTGTAAACATGTCATGCACTATCACTATCTTCACGCATAAATGAATAGTCACCTCTTATTATTTTGCTACATTTCATAAACACCATATCGTACCCTAGTAGTTCTTTTCCAATGATATATGTTGAATATATTAAGGAAGATAACAAATCTTCCATTTCTGTTGATGTTAGATAGTTAAGTAAAAGCTAAATGTGGTTAGTTTGTTAGTAACTGTAATTAGTTAGAATGGTTATAAGTTTGGTTATAATAGTCAAGGGTAGATTTGTAAAGAGCCAAAAAGGCTATATATATTCTTTTCGGTGTAATTGTAATTCATTGAGTAAATACAATCTTGTGGAGGAAGTTTTATCGTTCTTTATCTTTCAATATGGTTTCATCGCTGGTCGCCTCACGGCTTTTCTCGATCTTCTTCTCTTCTGCTCCGATCTTCTGATCTTCTACTCTGTACCTTGATTCGATTGTTCTTTGTGGCGATCTTGTTCTCCTCCTGTTAATCTTGATCTGTTTCTTGCTCTCTCATGGCGACTTCATCTGAGTCGGTGCCTAGTATCCCTCCCTCTTCTAACCCTAATTCCTCTTCATATTCCTCTATCACAATCCAAAATATTGGTACCATAGTGCCAATCAAGCTCAAGCGGACCAATTATCTGCCCTGGTGTGCTCTGTTTGCTCCGATTCTTCGGCGATATCATCTTCTTGGTATTGTCGATGGCACAGAACCCTGTCCCGCCCCTCTTCTGCCTGATCGTACTCTTAATCCGGATTTTGAAGTTTGGTACGAGAAAGATCAGAATCTGCTGATCTGGTTTAATTCCACGTTGTCTGAAGAGGTCATTCCTTTCACAGTTGGCGTTTCGTCTTCTCGTGATCTATGGCTTAAGCTCAAACAACGATTTGAGGGTGTTTCTGATGCACATGTTCATCAGCTTTTTTCTCGCCTTCAAAGTGTTCAGAAAGGTTCTTGATCCATGTCTGATTATTTGCAAGAGCTCAAAGAGATCTCCGACTCTCTCACTGCTGCTGGATCCTCAATTTCGGATCGCGATCTTATCGCTGCTACTCTGGCTGGCCTTCCTGATGAGTTTGAATCATTCACCGACTCCATCATGCTTCGGTTAACCTCTACATCTTTGGATGAATTGCATGGCTTGCTCCTTACCAAAGAGCTCTCTCTGAATCGCCGCAAGAAATGTGTCTCTTCTAGTATGTCTGAACCGTTTCATGCTTTATCTATTCAAGCTCAACCTCCATTGCTTCCCAATCCACCTCAGGTGTATGTTGCTCAGAATCCACCTCTTCAGCATTCTTTTCGTTATAATTCGAACCGTGGGAAGATCAATCGTGGCTCTTATCGTGGCAATCGAGGTTCTTATCGTGGTAATTCTTCCACTAATAACTTCCATCGCTCCAATTCCTCTGCTCAGTCTCGTGGTTCTTCTTCTGGTCCTCGGGCTCATTGCCAGATTTGTGGTAACTCAAGTCATGAAGCACTTAACTGTTTTGATCGTATGAATCCTGACATCTATGGTCATGTCCCTCCTGCCAAACTCCAAGCAATGTGTGCTCGTTCTAATGCCAAGTCCTCTCCCACTTGGTTAATTGACTCCGGAGCTACTTCGCACATTACTAATGACATATCCAACATCAACTCTCCTACTCCCTACACTGGTGAAGATAAGGTTTATATAGGTGATGGTAAAGGTCTGTCCATTTCTCATGTTGGTTCATCTACATTACGAACTCCTACTTCTTCATTTAAATTGTCAAATGTTCTGCATGTCCCTCACATCCAACACAATTTGTTGTCTGCTTTTCAATTTCTCCGGGACAATTCCTGTTCATTGACTCTTGATTCTGATGGATCCGTTGTTAAGGATCGTTCCACGGGGAAGACGCTTTTGCGGGGTTCA